AATTAATATTAAATTCCAAGATGATAAGGTCAGAAACCTATTTTGTGAGTTAAGATCAAATAATGTAATTTTATAGGTGAAATCAGAAAAAAATCAGTATAAGGAAAGATAAGTTAATGATTTATGTCAGTTATATGGCTGTTACTTGCCGCCAAATTAATGCTTAACTCAATTTCTCTGGAAAACTGTGTTTTCTATCACGTAAAGAATACATCAGTAGAAATAATAGAATAGTTTAAGTAATTCATAGTCATATGCATGTTGTCACCTACAGGATAATAATGTACCATTTTTACTATGACCTTCATATGCCCTTCAGGAGAAAATATGTGTTGGAAGGCAAACAGGTAAGTTCTATGATGACAAGTTCTACATCACTGAGTTTGAAGCAAAGAAGGAACCTGAATGTGGAAATCAGAGTGAATGCATTGGAGCATATTTTTCTTTCAAAATATTTTATATACTAAAGTTTGCACAACATCTTGGCAAGTCTGTGAAGAAGATGTTTTGTGTTTCACAGCTAACATAAGAGCAAAAGAATGTGACAGCAGCTAAATAGCATTTCAATCATGAACTAAAAGAATGCATATAGCAGAGTGCATGGTAAGACCCATGGGCTAGAAGCTACACAGTTAAAAAGTCTATAAAATTCCAAAAGAGAGCTTATCTCTTATTTTTTCCTCTATACCAAGGAACCTTCCTTCACCCCAGAATTAGCTTCAAATTTGGACAACCCTTAGGACTCTAGGGAAAAGGGTCCTAGAATAGCTTTTGATATTTTGAAGGAATGAAACTAAATTTAGCACAGTCCATCTGTTTGATTAGAGAGGGAAAAAGACATAGCTATATTTTCTTGGCATGCAGATCTTTTATAAATCTTAGAGAGAGTGGTATTCCAGATTTTTCTGGAAATCATTTTGTAGTTCACCAATTCTACAAATATTGAACACTCTGTCTATGTCTTTTCTCTTATTTTTTCCCCGATTTCAGATTCCTTTTTTAGTTTCTAGAAAATAGAAAACTGCCTAGCACATACAAAGCATTCAGCAAATCTGTCAAATGCATTAATGGATTGATGGGTGAACTGGGTTTTCATACTAAGATACAAGTAGGTGTCATAACATAATTAAAATTATTCTGCTTTGTTTTTACTGTCATAACTGTGTGTGTCTATGGTGTATAGTGTGTGTATATCTTATCTTCCCAGATAACCTGTAAACTGGAGATCTCAAACTCAAATGCCTACATAGGGTAGATAAATAATAGAAATGAAGAAAAGGAGTGGTTATAATAAAATAAGTAGTGAAAATTATTGCCAGCTAGAGAGCATAAGGGTCAACCTGTGTTTAAGACATACAAGGACTAAGGACACTCCAGGTACACCTATAGTGTGAGCTTCTTCATGAGGAAAATTGTATCTAAAATATTCCTGTAATATTAAAAAAAATACAAAAAGAAGTCAATAATAAAAATACTAGTAGTTAATACTAAAGCATGTGAGGAGAATTCTATTGTAAGGTCATGTGTTAGGTTATACGTCCCTGGCACTATGCTAAGTTTTATCTGTTGTAATTTTGTGTCATAAATAAAATTACCTTCATTTTACATAGAGGAAGCAACAGCATAATACTTGGTAAATGTGTATTGGTTACTGTATTGATAAGTACTTGGATGCTTAAAAGCAATCAACATAGCAGAGAACAAAATATTAGAGTCCTGAGGTGTTCCTTAACCCATGTAAAAGAAGCACACACTAAATGACAGCCCATTTTCTGGCATCTCCAAGTAGGAGAATGAAGGTAATTCCCTAACTCCATGGGTACCTCAAACTCTGCAGATAAACTGAGACCTCTACATTATTGATAGAATTGACATAGTACGGCTTTTAGTAATCTGTAAGACCTGTCATCTTTTCTTCACAAGGAAAGAAATAGAAATAGACTATTGCTTCTATATGTTGAAATAGCATTAACAATTATGAGCAGCTGTCATTTGTTACTTAACATTTGCTAAGCATTACTTTATCTCCTTTATTTCCTCCAGGAACCCCATAAAGTCACTATTCTTATCATTCCCAATTTACAGATTTAAAAAATTGAAGTTCATGGAGGTGAATTAACTTCTACTGTATTACACAACTAATAAGTGCCAGAACAGGAACATAAACAAAAGTGGGCCAGTCTCCAGAGCTCATACTTATGTCTACTCTATTCCCCTGTGTGAAAAGTCTGAAGAGTCTTTTGAATTTTTCTACCTATGCTTGTCAGCCATTTTTTAAAACATAAAGTCCTCTTTTCAAAATCTAACGTAAAACTCTGAATTACATAGAACAGATTATTTCTATTCTGGTTGAAATAAAGAGTGGAGAGCCAACCATTCCTTCCAGTATTTTCTCTCTCACCTGAATCTCTTCCATGACCATTTCCAATTGTCTTTACATTGCTCTGGGACTGCTTCTTCCTACATGTCACAAACTCTACTTCCCTTTTCTTACTCTAAGTGGACCAAAAACCTCAATCCTCCCTGTATTTCCTCCTCCACTTGCTCTCCAAGACACTCAACTTACAGATTTTCTTCTACTACCACTCTACTAGTGATTCTCAAAGGGCATGTCTCCAAATCCATATTCCTCGTGGTTTGTAGGAGACATGGGGTGAAATCTATTCCAGTGGTTATAATTAATTTAAAATTGAAAGAACTGACTGGTCGTGGAAGTATAAATGTTATTAGATGACAGTTCCTTAAACTGCCAAGAGCATCTTCCCAGAGATGAATAAACTAGAGAGGAGACTCTCACTATCCTGTCCCTACTCTTCTGTCCTCCCCAGCACACTCCTTTCTACTTGCTTGACCTAAGGATATTCAGCCCTGCGGTGAGTGCTGCATGAAGAGATAGGTTGGAACAACCTTGAAATACAAAACAAAATCTTCCTTCTCCTGGTGTCCTGTCTCAGGTGAGAGACAGTGTAATATGGTGATTGAGAAGCAGATTTTGGTAGTCAGAGATGTCTTTAAATCCTCCAGGACTTCTTGTAGCTATGTTATCTCTCTCAGCTCAGGTTTCTCATCTTGCTAAATTAGAAAATACTACAAATTCTTCTTTATTTTGTTAGGAGGAATGAATGAGATATATCACTTTAAGCACTGAGCACAGTGAGTAGTCTATAATAAGCCTCAGTGGGTGGTCATCCTCAGGATTATTTTGTATCTCTTTGCTTTTAAGGCAGCTAATGGGCTCTGTAGCCTCCAGAATTACTAAACCAAATTTCCTGCATCTCCAGGCTTTGAAATGGTGACTTAGAAAAAAATCTCATTAGATAACTAAAGAAAATGGGATAAAGGGAAAGAGAATTTTCAAAACTGGTGTACTTTTTATGAGCACTTCTGCTCATCAGACGTCATGAGAGTTGCTTTTTCTTTTCTTTATTTAATTCATTAAGTTTATTGGTACATTTTAGGTATACAATATGATGACATTCATCATTAGGAATTTGTACCTTTACATGATATGTCTTGGTTCTTATTTTTTTCCCCATTCCCCTGCTCTCCCTTCAACCCCTCCATCCCTCCCTATTTACAAAGATTTTGTTTTCATTTTTTCCTTTTCTCATATGCTTTCCTTTCCTTTCTTTTCTTTCCCCTATCCCTCCAATTTCCCCTTCCCCTTTCCCTTTGGACCTTTTCTTCCTATTTCATATTATCTGTTATACATTTTGATCATCATTTACACTGTCAGTTTCTCACACCAGAGAAACTATTCAGTATTTATTTACACATGTGTCCTATTTATGTCACTTAAGTGTATGGCTTCAATGTGCATCCATTTGTCTCTTGTAAACTCACAATCCACTTGGGAAGTAAGAGTTGGATTTTATTGCTTCAGTGTTTCTCAAAGTGCATTCCCTGGACAAGTGAGCGTCAGAGCCACCTGAGCAGGTAGTTTAATTTGTAGCCTCAGCATCTCTGGAGCAAAGCTAGGCCATCTGCATAATAATTTGCTTCCCAGATGATTGTCATTAAAGGGTAAGGATCTTTGACCTTGTGCTTATATTAAATAATATAAAATTTGATTACAATTTCTTGTACTTATACACATAAACATGTCTCCCTTCTTAAGTGACAAAGTCTCCACAGTAAGGACCATGCTGTCTAGATTTCTTGTAACCCCACTAATATACAGCTTAATCCTAAATATATCATTGGGAATTGATGAGAATACATCACTGAGTTTAGTTTTCTGTCCTGTGGGATACTGATCTGTCAATGTCTAAAAACTGGTAGAATTCTCAAATTAGAATGGCAATTCAGCAATATTTAATATTATTTGATATACAGTGAGAGTTTCTAAGTAATACTTTCTCATTGTCCATGGACTGGATGTTCTTTACTGGATAATTCTGAGATTTTTTTAAAGTACTGAGTAGGGAGAAAAATTAATAAGTCCTGAGATGTGATGTTCTTTTCAAGTTTAAGAGTGTTTGTGCAACAAAAATTCAGACTTTCTTGCCTTCCTATCACAGAAAGTCAGGCAAAGCAAAATGGCCTCTATCTAAAATGGTTATTTAGCCTTGAAATACATGAATTGAAGCATCAATTTCATCGCAGGATTGGCAATAATACATGCTAACTTTGTGTAAAAGGACAAGACTTGTTACTCTATGATGTGTTTGTTTCTGAGAAATTGAGAGGTTCTCTGTATTACATTTTTTTATAATAGTTTTCTTTGCGGTTCCATAAACACTTTCTGGAATATGGAGATTCTGCCATCAGAGTCCTATGGGAACTTGTCCAGTGCCCTCATGTCATTATTCTACCTGCGTTTGTAGCTGCAATATGTAATTATCCCTTCTACATTTCAAAAGCAATTTTCTGATCTCCAACCCATTAATCATTTTTGATCCTTACTACGATGAAAATATTTGGAATCTAAGCTTATGATCTTCATTCTATTTTTTTTCCTTTTAATTCATGGTAGATTTCTCTTCCTTTCTCTTTTTTAGGATCAACACTCTGTGGTAGGCCAGAACACAGGCTCCAATCCAAGTCCCAGCCCCTGCTCAAATCCAAACACTGTAAGTGGTTACATGAACTCCCAGCAATCACTGTTGAATCAGCAATTGATGGGAAAGAAACAGACTCTACAGAGGCAGATCATGGAACAGAAACAGCAACTTCTTCTCCAGCAGCAGATGCTGGTTGATGCGGTAAAACTTTCTTCTAACTTCTAGCACATATACTTCGTGGCCCAGCAAAGAGAGGTCATTTATTTCTATTCCTATTTAGTGCCCTTTTTTTCTGTGCCTACTTATATGTTAGCAACAAGAAGGTCCTGTAAGAGAAGCCAACTCTCTACATTAAGTGTATCGGGGGGACAAAACTTGATTTATGTCTATCAGACACTTGGAATATGCAACAGCTTGGTTAACTAGACATTCCCAGCCCAGGAATGTCTAGAATGACCAGCCTGGGCATTTGAATCAAGCAAAAGAAACCAACGGGGTTCTCCAGCCCCAAGGGGCAAAAATAGTGGACCAAACTTTAATCAACTCAAATCTAAATTGATTTTAAAGAAAAACAAGTTTTAAAAGCAATTTCAAAAGTCAACTTGGTGTTTCAATATTAAGATTTGGTTCCAAAAGCAATCACAAAATTGAAAGAGTTTTTTAAAGAAAATTAAAGATACATTTTTCCATTTTTACCTTATTCGTATTGTCCAGTGTCTCAAACACTACCTAAGCATTAACTCTGTTCCAATATTTATCTGTTCTTCCCTCTAGTCTCAGACATACTCATTCATATACATCTGATCCAAACCCTTCCTGCCTCCTAAAATCACAGCCTCATCTGCAACAGTTTCATTCTTTGCCTTCAAACTTTTTGGCCAAATGAAATAAAGGTGCAAAGGTAAACATCTCCAGGTTAATAGAGCTAAGGTACAAAGAAGAAAGAAAAATAAGGGATGGGGGTGTAGCTCATGTTCTTGTCTAGCATGTGAGTCCTTGGATTCATACCTAGCATTGTAAAAACAGAAAAATAAAATCAAATAATTTTATACTGAAAGAAGTGTGTATTAAGATAGTCAGAAATGAAGGGTACTATAAGCTTTATATATTGGCCAAGGCACAGAATATGCACCAGTATGGAGAAGTGATGTTCAAGGAGACAAAAAATGAAAGACCGGAAGATAGAGACTGAGAAACTAGAAGACATATTTTCTGAAAAGCAACAGAGAAGATTTTATTAATTTAAAACAAGAAGTACTATACAAATGATCAAAAAATGTGACTGTTTAAATTTTTAAAAATATTATTTAATAATCTAATAATCATTAAAATACTTAATAATTTTTAAATTATTACAGTAAAAGACACATTGTCATTAACCCCCCTCAAAATACTCCCTGTCTAAACATACTTATCCCACTGTTTTTGGCATGTGTCTTTCACTGTAATTTTTTTCATTTAAACATTCACTATATTTATTTATGTACATTTATCAATTAATGTTTATGGAAATTTTTGCCAAAAGAAAGCATTACTGTGTGTCTCCATCCACCTTATTCACTGGATCTTACACCCTGCAACTTCTGGCTCTTCCCAATAGTCAAAATAACCCTGAAAGGTAAACATTATGAATTGATTCAAGACATCAAAGCCGCCACAACAGTGCAATTCAAAAAAGGAGACTTCCAGAGCTGCTTCAGAAAGTGGAAAGAACAATGAGATAAATGTGTTTGAAGTAAGGAGGAGTACTTTGAGGGAACGTGTCTTTTACTGTAGTAATTTTTAAAATTTAATATCATGTTTTTAATCTCACATTGTATTTAATTGACATTATAATAAACATATAGACCCAGTGAGAGAAAGTTTAATGGAGAGAAAAATTAAATTCAGCCTGGAAAGATTAAGGATAATTTACTGGGAAAGGTATATTCTTAATAGACAATAGGTAGGTCTACCATTCTCAGTAGAGGATGGACCAGAGACCAAAAGGTGTGGCCTGACTGTATTTGTTAGTTGAAATTGAATTATGAAATTAATGAAAAAAGTATAAATATAATAGAACAATTACTTTTTGTGATACTATGGATTGATATAGAGTCTTTACACTGAGCTACATGTCCAGCCCTTTTTAAAATTTTTATTTTAAAACAGGGTCTCACTAAGTTGCTAAGTTGCCCAGGCTGAGCTAAAACTTATAATCTTCTTGCTTTGGGCTTCAAGAGTGCTGGAATTAAAGGCCTGCTCCACCATGTCTGGCTACATATGTCTTTTGTAAAGGACTACAAACAGCATAATTTTGGAGTCCAGAATATATGAGGAAAAATAGTGAGAAATAGATTTATTTGATCTTGAATAAGGAATAGTGAGAAATAACTTTGCAAGTGACCTTGAGTACTTTCCTAATGTATAAAGTATAAGGAAGCAACTGACTGTACCACAAAATGACACAACTGGTTTCTTCCACAAATCATAGTTTTAAAACATCCAGTCCTCCCAACTGTTCCTTCCTCCTCTCCTTTAATCGTTGTAGATAGCTTAAAAACATAGGCAACAGAAGAGAAACACACGCTATCTAAAATTGTCTTACTGGATACACATTTATCATTCTCATCAGTACAAATAATCTAATGAATTACAAATGCTAAGGTTGAATTTCTAGATTTTCAGCTCTGATTAAAAAGCAAGAAAGTGATAGCACACACATTTCATGAGGCTCTGATTCTGGCACTCTGCTACCTCCGCCTGAACCCCAGCTAAGTTACACTGGAACAGGTGCAAAGGGCAGTGACATAACTGTGAGAAATGAATGAAAATGAGGCTGCACTTTTTTTGATTTTTATAAACCTTTCACATTTCTCTTTCTTTGGACACCATTGAGGACCCTTGTGCTTTTTAGCATATCCAGGAAGAAACAGTCTTTGATGCCACTTTACATTAGCATGTGTTTTGTTGTCATTTGGCAAGCCTCCATAGGCATCTAAATTGAGACATTTTCTCATAAAAGTTTGTTGTCCTTACTCTCTGTTATTCTTCCACCAATGAAGCACAAAGAAGAATAAGTAGTATTTATCACAATGAACATCATCATTACCAGCACATATTGTGTACCTACTGTGTGCCAGGCACCATGCTGAGATTTTACAGTATTAAAGGATTAATTCTTATAATAGGAGTATGAGGGAGGTCCTATAATGTTCCACATCTTTTATTTTTACAGATGAAAGAACTGAAGCAAAACAGATATGTAGCAAAACAGATACTGTAGCAAATGATTTTGCTATTAGGGTTTCAAATGTAAGAGATTGGGTTATTATACAAGATTAATTGATCAATGAAATTCATGTTGCACAGAAATAATTTCAGGGATAGCCTGTGACTTTACATTTGTATCGAAGGGCATTCTCTTGGAAAATGTAGCTGTCTCCATTCAAAATTGGAGTCTAGGCTTCACTATTCTTCTGTTCAAAGTGGTAGCATGGCAACTCTATGTTATATCCATATGCAAGGCCATTAAATATAACTCACTTGTGAAAAAGTAGTTTAAGAAACTCAAGTCTTCACAGATGTATATGTTAACTCTGAACAGTAACTATTAAGCCCTTGGAGTGACAAATGGTCAATAATTAGCTTGAAGATACTTAAAAATAAATCCTGGTTTGAATGATGAGGAATCAAAAGCCTAGTTATCACAAACACACACATACATGTCCTGTCCTCTTCAATTTAAGTAATAGAAACATCTAATTATGTAAGATAGATGCTTTTTGGAAAAGAAGATTCTACAAAGTCCCATGCTTGGCTTAAAAATCAAAACTGTCAGTTTGCACAATAGTTTACAGCAGAGTTGGTTCCACATTGCCACATTTGGGTTCATGGAACATCTCAAGCTGTTTCTTAAACATTTAGGGTTTGGGCAAAACCAAAAAAAGAGTTTCACTAACCACATTTTCCCCTTAATTTGTAAACCTATGTTTAAAAGAAATGTAATCCATATGTCTCTGATTCATTTACACTTAGCTCATCAAAATTGTGTTTCATATGAATAACTCGCTGTCCAAAAAACTCTGTGAGTCTTTCAAATTTTTTTCTTAGAAACAAGAAGTAAATTTGGTTTGTTGTTGTTCTAAGACTCTTTCCCTCCCTTTATAGTAGATTTATTCTACTTAGAAGGTTTGGAATTTGATTGCAAACTGAGAAACACATGGTTTAAATAAGTTCTAAGTTGGGCAGTATATATTTGGTTTCTAACTAATCGACTCATCTATTACAAAGTTTTATTTTCTATTTATTGATTTTTATATAATTGTAATGTTCTGTCTACCTATGCCAATTATTTTTATCTTTGAAAATGGAAGTTGCTTTGGGGTGTGTATAAAATTGCACTGAAGCAATTCCAGAAACTTCCTGATCCACACTGAGAAAAAAATAAACCAGCCCTTGATGTCCAGAACTGATAGGACATTTGTAGCCAAGTCATTTGTTCTCTGGTGAACATAAACAATCTTACACAATATCAGCCTCAAACAGGGTTACCATGATAAAATGAGACAAAATAATTTTGTCTAAAACAGATACAAACAAGGACACCATGTGACCTCAACATACCAAACATTCCCTCCCTGTCTAAGTGATTACTTGTCTACTCAATCATACAGTCAACCTCACTTTCTGACAGCTTTCAATCAAGGAAAAATCCCAGCTTCCCTAGGCCTTCCCTGGATCACCCAAAGTCCAAATCCCATGATAGGTTTTTTTCTAATATGCACTTTTCCTGAGACACTCCACGGCCCCCCATGACTTGCATTCTCCCTGTGGCAATGAGTTAAGAGCCAAATAAGTGTGTTCCTGGTAGTCTTTGGAAGATGGTATTGAAATATTAAAAGAATGTTGCTATTTCATTCTTAACTTATAGGCTCAATTATTCTAAAAATGTAAAGGTGGCTGATTCCAGAAGGAAAGAAAAGAGCCTGGGAAAATTCAGTGCTTTTAGAATAGATCAGTGAGAAACTGAGTCACAAGGGGCCCTTATATTGTATGGCAGGAAGTAACCTGAGTTTATGACTCCAGAATTTGCTCTCAAGTTGCTTAGCCTAATGAAGTTTCCATTTCTCTTCTTTTATATAAGAATAATCATACCTACCTTGGGGGATTAATAATGAAGGAGTAAAAAAGAGGTATATGCATATAGTACATATCCCAGTACCTAACTGGTTATCTCCTGATATTGTTTCCTATCTAGGGTTACCAGATTTAATAAACAAAAATAAAGAATACCAAGGTGATATTTATTTCATCTGGCAACCCTCCTATTAGGCTTTCCATATTCTATGGCACCAGAATTATACAGAGATACCAAAGTGTATCAGGTGTGCCATAATACAAAACTAGAAATACCATCTCAAAACTGACAGAAATACAGTTGGTTTGTTTCGGGGGGGAGGTTGGTACAGGGATCAAACTCAAGACTTTGAGCTTGTGAAGCAGGCGCAATGCCACAGAGCTACCTCTCTGGCCCTAATATAGTTCTTATTGAAATCTAATTGCAAAATAAAAGCAAAGAACTAGGAACAAAATATAGAATGTTATGGAGAAGAAATGGCACTTCCATGCAGGAATTTTATTGAAACTAAAAAGATCTGTCTCTGAATTTGTTCAATTAAATGAGGCCATGATTTGTAATCCATGACTGCAAAATTGTTCTTATATTCCTGTTCAAATAGTACATAAGTTTTTATGAGCAAAAAGATAATAGTACAATTTAAAATGTTTTCATTTGTGTTTTCAAGGAGAAAATTGCTCCACAAGATCAGGTAAACTCACATTTGACAAGGCCACCCCCAGATTACAAAGACCAAAGAAGAAATGTGGGAAATCTGCAACCAACTGCCCAGTATTCTGGTAAGTGCTCTTAAAAACTAGGACATAACTGTGAAAAGAGAAAACTATTCAATTTTCATAATTTTTTTCTTTCCCCGTCCCATATTTGACTGTAATGTCTTTCTTGGAATCTTTTGCTAGATCCCATTTATCTTCTACTTTGAGACCACACTTGGCCCTTCCATTAGTTCTTGCTTATTCTTGCCCTGCATTCGCATATTCACTACTGTCTGAACTACTTCTGAAAATCCAAAGAGCTGAATATTTTCGGAATGCTAGGTTCATTCATTGTCCCAACAACCTACCTTGTCCCAGGTAGGGTAAGGCATGGAAATATTTCTTGCTCTTTCACAATAACAAATATAACTTGCACAAAGCCTAGTCTTCTGTCTCCACAGTAGAGCCTATCTCTCCCTCACGCTTCCTCTACAAGGACAAATAGTCTTGTCTTCAAGGAATAATTGAAAGCAAAGTGTGTCCTTATAAAGCCTTTTCAAATACTAACAGTGGATTCCATTTCAATCACAAAATGAGACCTTTAAATAGCGTTCTCAATATAAGTTCTCACCCCAAAATTTCTCACCTGCCACTCTGAACTTCAGAAGACCTTCCCCCAAAACTGACTGATACTCTCCTACCTTCTGCTCAGCATCTATTCAAGTCTCTTCTGTTCATAACTGTGCACGTCTTCATGTCAGTTAAACTATTCTCTTATGTTTCCTACCTTCTCTCTGCTTTATGTGTCCCTCCATCTGTACAGAAAGTCATAAAGAAAATTTTCTAAAGAAGGAAAAACTGTGAACACTCCTATTTATCAATATTTTTGCCCAGTTAAGTATATCTTAAATATGTTGCCCTGACTTATTTAAACTTCTTCAAATGAACCAGATTGTCTCTCTCCACTTTATTAGGAATGTGATGCATATATTCCCCTCTCTAAGATTATTTTGCCTCAGAGCAAAAACAGGATTCTCTATTTGCTTGTCCTCAGAGAGACTGAAAGACAAGATATAGGTTATTTGGAACATGGCCTATGATTGGACTTTGGAGAAGCTAGGATCCCCTTGAAATTCAAGTAAATGTTTAGGATTTCTTTGCCCATTCTTATTGAAAAATCCCAGGGATAGTAGTCTAGGGCTGATTTGATGGCTCCACTTTATCAGGAATCCAGGCTGTTTTTGTTTTTCTGTTCCATCTTCTTTGGCATATGACTGACTTCATCCTAAGGGCTGCTTGTAGCCGCCACATCATCAACCTTCACATGCATATTTCAGGTAAGAAGGAGAAAGGAGAGAAGAGGTAGCATATCCTCCCAAGTGAGCCATATTCCCTTTTTAAAGCAGTCTTCTTGGATTCCTACCTACTAACTTTTACCTTTGGCCAGAATATGTTAATCTAGACCTGCTATCACATAAAAGTTTGAGACGTGGTTTATCAGCAGAATACACTACTACAAAGTCAAAGCTCTGCTTCTAAGAAAGACGGGGAAGTTGGAAAGTGGATAGGCACCTAACAGTTTCTTCTGCAGGGTGTGTGGGCATTTTTCTAAGGGCACATGTATTTGCCTTAACAATGAACTTCTGTTCCTCAATTAAGTAAGAATCGCTGCTCTTGAGCACTTTATTTAACATGTTTTCTAAGAGTAAAATAAGCAGCAAAACACAACACAAACTTTTATCATTTTAAAATGTTAATACTAGAAATGAAGTACAAAAAGAACCTGGAACAGTTTCTATTACATGTTAAAAGCTTCTGAATGTTAACCATTATTGTTATTTTGTGATCTTCATGGAAGCGCTTTACATTATTTAAAAACACTACTATTCTCATAAACTTTCCCAGGGTATATATTTTTTTAAACAAAATAGGTCATCTGCAAGGGATGATTGTTAAAACCTCTGAATGTTTTTCATATCATTTGCATAGTGCAAACTCTCTTGCTATGAAACCTTGAGGTGTAAAGACAGTGTTGTTTCAGCTCATTAGCATTGTGTGTACTCTCAGTTATTGCTCAAATTTCTTCTGCCTGGCTGTAATCTATCTTCATCAAACACTTCCTGTCCACTACACAATGTAGAGCCCTATATCAAGACTAGAGATACAAAGAGATTTTAAGAGACTGTTCCTGCATCGAAGGACTATGTAGTCTAGTTGGGACTTATTTTGGAAAAAAGGAGCAGTGCTTGTATGTTCATTTAGCTTTTAGTCTTTCAAGATTTGTATCATACTAGGTATCCTCAGGCTACAGGGGACATCTTGAACTTACAGTTTCAGACATGCACTTCTCATAACTGAATTTTAATATTCATATATGTGTGTAACTTGCTGTTTCTCAGTATTTCTGATTCTCTGTGCCTGCTGCCTTTCTTCAGGAAGAATATTTCATAAGAATATCTTTCTCCCAGTTTTGCTTCAGTTTAATCATTCATTAATTCATTCAGGTAAAATGTATCATGTGAATACCAACTTTGTGCCATCTACTACACTCAAGGGAATATGACACTGAACAAAACAGGCAGAAATGCCTTACCTCTCAGGCACTTTTTTCTCTTCCATTTTTGCCTCTCAAGATGCTTTTCCTGTAATGGCACTAAGCCCCCAAGCTAGGAATATTTCAATGTGTTGACTATCAATCACTATGTGTTGTGTAGTGTCTTCCTATTCAGCAAGCTTCGAGTCCCACATCCAAGGAATTATTGACAGGAATCAATTTATATGGCAGGCACTTCGGGCTCCATGGATTGCCTAAGTGGTAAATGAACAAATCAAGGAGAAAATTGCTACTGGAGAGATGAGGCTGGAATAAAAGAGAAAGCTGAACAGAGGAGCTTGAGCACTGACCTAAAGCTTGGAGAAAAAAGAGGGCTCAATGAAGTAAGAAAGGCATCATATGAGAGGGAAATGACATGAGCAAAAGTGGCATGTAGTGTTCTCAAGAAAGATACAGTAATAATGATATGCCCTAGAGCAGAAACTTTCCCATATGGAAATGATAACCAGAGTGTGGATCACATCAAATTCCAGAGGCTTAAAGAGATGAGATTTTACCCGTTGGACACTGGGGAGCCATTGTGGCAACTTTTTGAATAAAGATGATCTAGATGAAAAATAGGGTATTATTTTCAAGGCTATAGGTTAGGAATATTAGTCGAGCAGCCGTATATTGGATTTATTCACACTTTTTTACTTGGCCCCTGGAGTAAACAGTTACATGATTTTATAATATTTTATAATAGCCAGATTTCATGATAGCTGCTAATCAAAATTGTATTCTTTAGACTGGGAACACAGGAAAACAAAATGAAAAATTAACTGTCATCTCCCCTTAATGACTCCAGAAGAGGAATAAATTAAAACCTATGTGGAACTACCTGATTGTACTCTTTTGTGTGTGTATGTGATGAGTAAACTCTTAACCAAGAAGGGGCATGATACTATCCCCTTTACTCACAAACTATCTTATTTCTTTTACATAATATATTTGATGATCATTTCTCCTAAATTATTCTTGCACCTGAAAGCAGTTTCACAGTTGACAAGTTTGGGCAAATTGCTAAAAAGTGGAGATACTCTACTGTTTTGAATGAATATAATTCTCCTTTCTTTTCTAGGTGGCTCATCTACAATGAGTTTAAACGCTAACCAGGCTTTGATAAACCCAGTTTCAACACACACCATTTTAACTGCAAATTCCAGCCTGATGTCTTCTTCCCATGGGACAAGAATGCCATCATTATCCACAGCAGTTCAAAACATAGGGATGTATGGAAATATGCCTTGTAATCAACCTGCCACGTACAGTATCACTTCAGGAATGAATCAATTGACCCAACAGAGGAATCCAAATCAATTGATAACAAATCAAAACAATCCTTTGATGCCACGGCCTTCTACCTTAGGGCCAAGTAACAGTAACAATGTGGCCACTTTTGGAACTGGATCTGTTGGTAATTCACAACAATTGAGACCAAATTTAACCCATAGTATGGCAAGCATCCAGAGAACATCAAATGTAGTGGTCACATCCAACACAACAGCAGCGAACTGGGCCTCTCAAGAAGCAGCAACCAAACAGCAGGAAGCTCTGAAATCCGCAGGGGTTCACTTCCCCACAGGGACCCCTGCAGGCTATACCCCAAACCAGTCACTGCAACAGGCAGTAGGTAGCCAGCAGTTTACCCAAAGGGCAGTGGCTCCTCCAAGCCAATTAACACCAGCTGTGCAAATGAGGCCCGTGAACCAAATGAACCAAACACTAAACGGACAAACCGTAGGTTCACTCAGGGGTTTGAATCTCAGACCCAATCAACTAAGCACACAAATTTTGTCTAATTTGAACCAGTCAGGAACTGGGTTGAATCAGACAAGGACAGGCATAAGCCAGCCGCCATCTCTGACACCCAACAATTTTCCTTCATCCAACCAAAGTGCCAGGGCTTTTCAAGGAAGTGACCATGGCAGTGACTTAGCTTTTGACTTCCTCAGCCAACAGACTGACAACATGGGTCCTGCCCTAAACAGTGATGCTGATTTCATTGATTCTTTATTGAAGACAGAGCCTGGCAACGATGACTGGATGAAAGATATAAATCTGGATGAAATCTTAGGAAATAACTCTTGAAGGAGAAAGGGGAGACAATTTACGAACTCTAAGCACTAACAGGCAGTATTTTACAAGGATGCTGAAAGGGCAAACCTATGACTTCCAGGTGGACTACATGAAGATATCATGGTTTAAAAGTGGAAGCAGAGGGTAACTGCAGTGGTGACTACTTTGGTTCGAATTCTTGTATAAAAAATCTCAAACCTTAAAGTAAAACATTGGGATCACTTTCCCCTATATAAGCTCCAGGACATATTATCCAAACAAAACTGTGATGTTGGTGTGTAATTAATTGTGTAAAATAGGCTTCCCATGCTCTTTCTCTGAAAGAAAATAGAACTTGTTCTTTGTTTAAACCCCATGTCATGAGGTAATACTAGTTCTAAGCAACAAAAACCAAATTCCTTTATTTGCTTTAATAGATAGGTGTGGTTTAATTTTTCCACTGTCTTTTCATTTAATTTTCCTAAGTTTAAGACATAGATAAAAATATTATAGGTTTGTTTGAAGTAATCAGTGTCCTTTGTAAGGGAAAGCCAGAGAACCTAGAAAACATCTAATGGATTACAGATTCCCCTCCCCTAGACTCAGTATTCATTTTTGCAATTTTCTCACACATTCTACACTTCAATGGGATTCTGTGTCTAGTGATGAAACCAGAATGTAGAACTGTGCAACTTCATTTTGGCTTCCACAGCCAATTTCCAAATCCATTCCCAAGCAAGTTTTCAGTACAACCTAGACCTGGTCTAATCCTACTAAAATATTTGTGCACACTTGTCTGCATCAAACTTTGTTTTAAAAAAAAAGAAGCCCTGAACATTGCTATAATGGAGATTTATCTGGCCACAAATAACCTGAGAGATTACTTCTTTTGATTGATGGCCACTGGTCTTTTCTGAAATTGAGTGAAATTGAGCCTTGTCCTTCCTCCCTACTTATTCTGATGACCAGAGAATGGCTTGTAAGAAAAGTAAATCTGGTTTTTTTAAAATTAATTTTATTGGTACATTTTAGGTATACAATATAATGACATTCATCATTGGAAATTTGCACTTTTACATAATCTCTCTTGGTTCTTATTTTTCCCCCATTCCCCTGCCCTCCCTCCAACCCCTCCATCCCTCCCTATTTACAAAGACTTTGTTTCCATTTTTTCATTTTCTCATATTAATTCCTTTCCCTTCTTTCCTTTCCCGTACCCCTTCTCCTTCCCCTTCCCCTTTGCCCCTTTTCTTCCTACATCACATTATCTACCACCTCATCTCAGAAAGACTGGCTGCTATCATGAAATCAACCAATAACAAATGCTGGCATGGCTGTGAGGAAAGAGGAACCCGGCTCCACTCCTGCTGGGAGTGTAGACTGGTGCAAGCACTGTGGAAATCAGTATGGAGATACCTCAAAGAACTAGGACTGGAAGTCCCATTTGACCCAGCTATTCCCCTGCTGGGTATCTTCCCCAAAGAATTAAAAGAATCATACCACAGTGATACATGTGCACCCATGTTCATAGCAGCACAGTTTGTAATAGCCAAAACTTGGAAGCAGCCCAATTGCCCATCAACTGGAGACTGAATAAAGAAAATGCGGTTTTTTAATAAAATGGAGTACTATTCAGCCATAAAAAATGAGAAATTAGAGACTTTTACAGCTAAATGGATGCACATTGAGGAGATACTCTTAAGTGAAATAAATAGGACACACATGTTTAAATACTGAATAGTTTCTCTAGTGTGAGAAACTGAAAGTGTAAATAAGAAAAGGAAATTTGGAAACTAAATCTTAGATTAGAAAGTAATATGTTTTGATTAAAAATAAGAAACAGGAGTGGGGCTGGGGATGTACCTCAGTGGCATAGCACCTGAGCAAGCACAAGGTCCTAAGTTCAATCCCCGGTACCAAAAAAGAAAAAGAAAAAGAAACAGGAGTGGTAGATATGAGTGGGTACAAATCTATTTTATAGAGTTTAGAAGAAAGCATAACTGAGAGAGAAAATCAGTCCTTCTTTGGATTGTTATTTGGATTTGGGTGAAATACTAAAAAGAATGTGGTCCATTAGTAGCAGTCTATTCATTCCTTTGTCCCTGATGTGATGAGTCCTTGTCACATCAAGGGTGTGCATATCCACGCTTTCTCTCTCACGGCTGTGTGCTACATCAAAGAAAAGATTTTTGTTGAGTCATTTATCCTCAGTACTCACATACAGATGAGCTATTATATGGGGAAAATATGCAAATGTAGGATGGTAGCCAAATATCACTAACATTTTCCTATTTTCTGAGGAGCAAAGGTTATCTTCAGCCTTTTAATTAGGCTCACATATTCAAATATCAAATGTAATTTAATCAAAGTCATTTTAATAAGTCTTTAACAAGTCTTTAAATATCTGTTCAATAAAGAAAACACATCTTGAAAGTTTTGCAAAGCCCTCTCCCAATCTTTAAAATGTGTTGAGGCATTCTCCTTCCTTTACACAACACCAACACCACTGGCCCAGAATCTTTTCTGTGCTAATTTGTAAATATAAATAAATCACTCATTTTGTAAACTTTTGTAAAGAATATTTTGGTAGAAATACTTAAAGCATATTCTTTGGGCTATATTTATACATATGTGAAATAAATACACTATCAAAAGGTTATATTTTATACAAAAAGTAAATTGTTACCTTTTGTATGCTAATATACAAAGTTTTGTATAATATGATGGTTTATTTTTAGCTCCACACTTAAATCATAGGTGGTCTAGTGGGAACTTTTGAAAACTATGAGGCTTGTTACAAATTTATATTCTGAAACTTCAGTAAAAAAGCATTCCAGGTTTCATTCCTTTCCTTTTTTTTTTTCTGCTCCCAAATTCTTTATTAAAACCATAGGTCATGTGTCTATTTGATTATTCTGCTGTGCACATTGTATTAATCCTTGTTGCATGTGGTCTACTGTGTCTTTTTTTTTGGTACCAGGGATAGAACTTGGGTCTTTGCACTTGCGTAGCAGGCGGCAAAACCACTGAGCTAAACCCCCTGCCCCTATACTGTGTTTTCCTTTTTTTTTTTGGTACCGGGGATCAAACTCAGGTCCTTCCTCTTGCGAGGCAGGTGGCAGAACCACTGAGCTAAATCCCCGGCCCTGTTTTCCCATTTTTTAAAACAGTGTTTCTCCATGTAAAAAGAGAGGAAAAATAATGTACATATAAACATTTATTTTATGGCTCCTCCACGTTATTGTATATAACTGCCAGCACTTCCCAATTACACTCCTGTAATTCAGCTTATTTTTACCCTAACATAAATAGTATGTTTTGTAGTAGCTATCAAATTTAAGAGATAAAGCAATCAGAATGTTTAGATTTTCTTCTATCTTAATGTGAATTTCATAATTAATGTCTATTTATTCAGCTATTCATTAAAATATAGGATTCTTTAGAAAAAATGGTGTAATCTATAGTTTCTATTTGTTGGCAGCCTATTACCAAAGATGATGTAATTTTCCTAAAAGCTGAGATAATGACAATTTGATAGACATATTTAGCCTGAACCTTAGGATTTACAGTTTAAGAACTATTGGAATACAATCTCCCATTTATAGAAGTACCAGACTACTTAATTTTGGCATTGTTTATCATCTTGACATGTTATACAGAAGGTAAAAGTAATTTTTCTTTCTTTTTTTTAATTCAAAGGGTAGCAGGGAATTTAAGCAAATAATTCATTCTGGGCTTTGTGTTAAGCCAAATGAAGATAAATAACTCTGCTCTAAGTAAATGCACTATTACCTGCATTGCTGTAATTGTACCCATAAGTGTAAAGATTTCAACTTGTAAAACAATATTTTGTATTGTACCTAATTCCTTGTGTAAAAAATAGTTTAAAAATTCAGAAGTGGTTTTCTCGTATAAAATTATACTTACAATCACAAACAATATTGTTACTACATCACAGAAAGTTCTGAGAACTATTAATAGTAATGGATACTTAAAGGCAAATTTTTCTGTGGGAAGCTTCTACTACTAGCAAAATGCTGGCTTTTTTCATTCCCATATTTTTCAGATCACTTAGGAAGTTGCTATTAAAATTTTATATATATAGCACCTACAGAATACTGGGGAAACATTTCTGAATTCTCAGGCACTGTGGGTATTTGCCTGGCCTGTATGTGACCTTTAGTAAGACCAGGCTGAGTGAGCACAAGGCTCAGCAAACACATCCTGACTAAGCCCATTTACACAGCCCTTCTCGAAAATCAAGGAGGATAAGAGAAACATGGGCTTTTGTAAGAAGCAAGAGGAACCATTCCAAATGGGCCTGCCCCATTGTCTAAATATGTTGTTACAGTTCCATTATTCCTTTCCCCCTGCCAAAAAGGTATATGAAATCATCTTTTTTACCACTATTAGTAGAACACTAGGAAAATTTATATTTTATATTATCCTTGTCCCACAGAACCTATATGATAGGACAGTAAAGAAATCAGCACCAAAAAAAAGTAAATAATCTATACACAAATAAAAAGAAAGAAATGTATAGTTCCAAGCTATCTATGAACTTAGTATGTAGTCATGAAAGATTTGAGAGAAAATGGGAGCATGAAAGCGAGCTAACGGATGAACTGCTCAAACTCTTCTCACCCTGTGGTGCCAGAGACAGCTGAAATTTTTAATCAATTTGTCACATTTTCCATTTTGTATTTCTTCAGATCTGTTCCATCATCCAAAAAAGATGGTTTGGGGCTAAAATATATACTTTCCTTTCTAACTGTAGAACTCTGTGGTTGATTTTTTCAAAACTAAGTAAAAAATTGACTGAAATGACTCAATAGCATAATTTTTAAGATAAAGAAATCATTGATTATTCAAAATTTAGAAAAGTTTCATATTGTCAGCATTTTTGAATCAAGCATCCATATCCTGTGCAATTAAACCATAAACAATATTTTATCATATGTATGCCAGGGCTGAACTGTAGACAAATAGAAAGGCAGTGTAAATGTAGATGCCTGCTGTCTACAAATCAAGCCCTGAAGATCAACAAGTGGGAGGGGATGCTAAATGCTCATTTTCCTGTGAGAATAGAATCCCATAAAGAAAATATTTGGCTACTACGGAGGAGAAAACCATTACATCAAGTTGTATGCTTCACTGGATATTTATTAATGAACTTTCATGAGTTGTAATCACTCATGTAACATCTTTTAAATATGTGTCCTAAGTTCCTACAATAAATGAAGTACAAGTACTGCCCTAGGATCAATTTCATTGGCAGCAATAATATAACTAAAACCCTATTCTATGAGAATTAAGAAAATATATTGACCTTAGATTTAGTGATACAGATTAATGACTTTCATTTTGGCAGGTTTGTACATGCACATAACATACTCAGATAATTAAATTTTAAAACCAAATGCTGTAGTCCCAGACCTCAATCCAGTAATATTAACAGAGAGCTTCTGTTTATTTACATAAATAACATTTTAAGTTTCACTTTTCCAAATTAAGTGCTCTTTAGCTCCAGGATATGTGTAAATATATTGATGCTTTTTAAACAATTGTTAGTATTCTTTCAGCAAAAGAAAAGAAGGGAGGGAAGAAAAAAGAATATCATACTATATAAATATATGGAATCTTCTTATCGGATTATTTCAATGAAAGGAGAAAGCTGAAAAAAAGAAGAAAAGGGACATAAACGTATTTCAAATAGGCTTGGAGAAAGGAATTCACTGGACCACACAACTAAAACTTCTAGGAGATCATTCTAGATTTAGGCATAGCTGAACTCAGTAGCTCATCAAGCATTGGTTCTCATATTCCTCTCACCTGTGCTTCCCTACATCCTGGCTCCATCCTCAGCATGTGCTTCTTTCATGGTGACAAAGTGGTTGGTAGAAGCTCCACACTTATATCTTCACTACTCCAAGTCCAGCATAAAAAGCATGAATGCTTCCCTTGCAAAAGGTCAAATGTTGCCTCTCACTGACTGATTCATGTGTGTGCCCATCTCTGAACAGAGATATTGGTCAGGCGTGAGTCAATGGCTATTCCCTATGCAGAGGTAGTGTTAATACTAACCAAGCCACGTGAGTTGAGTGTGGGAAAGAGCTGATTCACAAAGGAAAATCAAGTTGTTATTGTCATAAAAAATAAATAGATGTGAAACGAAATCATAAATGTCTACTACCTTTTCTGGCTGCCCTAGTTCCATACATGTTATTTTTCCCATACCTTCAACTAGTGGTCCAGACACATCTACCTCCTCCCCAAAGAGAGACAATCAAATCTCATCTAAATATTGTGTCCACCTTCTAGTCCAGCACACCTCAGTGAGGTACTCTTTTCTGCTAGGCTAATATGGACTGACGACCTACTCCCGAAAGACATGAAAATACACCCAACACTATCCCAAAGACATACAATTGTGGAGAAAGAACAA